TTCAGTTGAGCAACAATAAAGGCTTGAACGACGATGGTGGAATAGTGAGCGCTCCTCTCCTCCTTGAGACTAGGCGACTAGCGGCGGGTGAGTGAGAGTGGAAAAGTGGAGAAGGGGAAGTGGGTTAGGGTTATGTTTTTTTTTTGTTGCTTTTATATATTTGGATAAATGGGTTAAACGGGTAATAAATGGGTAGGTCAGGTTTGGGTCAAATTATATCAACCTATTTAAAATATACGGGTTAATCATGTCAAAATCGGGTTGACCTGATTTCGACATGAATCTGGCCTGCTTTTTTTCGTGTTTATACGTGTTGACCCATTTTTATTTATTGACCCATTTAATTTCGTATTGGACCCATTAATTTCGTGTTTGGTTTGTGTCGTATTAGCGTGTCGTGTCAAAAATTAACAGTCCTACTCCTATTTAGAGGTGCAACTCGGGCGGTTAGGCGAGTTGAAGGGTCAATCCTAACCCAACTCTACACATATAATTTATAACCTGAGTCCGAGTCCGAGCCCGAGCCTGAACCCGAACCTGACTTGAACCCGAGTACTGCCTAAGTTGAATTCGGGCTGATTTAGGTTGAATTCGAGTTACTTTCGGGTTTGAATTCAAGATATAAATCAAATAAAAAAAATTACACCACTCAATTAGAACACAATACAAATAAATTAAACCAAAAAGTCTAAAATACCATAGCCACCCCATTGTCACCACAACCACTAACCATAGCCACTGCCACTATCACCACGACCACTGCCCATTGCCACCACCACAACCACTGCCAATCGCCACCACAGCCACCATGTCGCTGCCCACACAATCACCACACCACAGTTGCTTCCCACATAGCTACCACACCACACCATGACCACCAGATCTGACCATCGTTGTGGTCTTCGGCGCCATAGACACCAAATCTCCACCAGATCTGAGATACAAAAGCCATCAAATCTAAGATGAAAAAGTAACTAGATTTAACCATCGTTGTGGTCTTCGGCACATAAAGGGAGTGAGAGGGAGGCCGAGAGAGAGAGTAAGAGAGAGCCTGAGAGATGGAGAGAGGCTAAGAGTTGGAGAGGGACTGAAAACGACAAAGAGAACGAGAGAGACAGAGAGAACAAGATAGGCTTTTCACATAGAATGTGTTACACATACCCTGCAGCAACCCACCAAAAGCAAGAAGTGTGTGTTGGAAAAAATAGCTTAATTTGAATATGTTTCAAATGTTTAACAGATTTATAATGTTAAAAGATTCAATTTATTTTAAAGTGAAACATTATAGAGCCAACTATATTAAGGAAATTAAATTCCAATACTACTATTATCTAGCTCAACCAAATCATAACTGCCATTTCAATAAGGGTTAATGTATTCGTTAATAGATTTATTACCGTGACCGTAGACTATAATTAGGTCTTCTGTAGGAGAAAGTAAAAAATTTCTAGTTACGGTGAGATAACACCAAGGATTAGCCCTAAGTCTATACCTATTCACCTTAATTATGGATGAATTCATAGGCACATTCAAGATGATATCCCACGGTGTATGTTATTTACAGATGATATTGTCTTAGTAGATGAAATTCGAAGGAGGATTAACAATATGTTAAAAATTTGGAGAGAGACTCGAGTCGAAACGGTTTGAAATAAGTAGGAGTAAGACTAAATACATGCAATGCAATTTTAGTAATAAAAGATGTAGACATAATGAAAAAGTTACGATTAAAAATCAAGAAATACTAACGAGTAAACGATTTAAATATTTAAGATCAATCATTAAAAATGATGCAGAGATTGGAGATGGTGTAGTTCTATGAAACACGGACACTCTCGAGAAGATGACGTATCTGTGTCGGACACCAACACTCTTGGACACTCTCGGACACGTGTCTAATACTTTTTTATCTGTATCCATAATTAAATAATTTTTTTTTAATTTCGGATACGTATCTGACACTTTTTTGGTAACGTGTCTAATACTTCTTTAGAACGTTTCTACTACTAAACAATAAACACGTGTTGAAATGTGATTAACAAAGTTTAAAATTTTGAGAACATAAAATTACTAATACTAGATATGTTAAAATTGTAGTCCAAATAAAATAATAAAAATAAAAGCATAAAAGTTTAAAAAAAGAGGAATTGAGAAAATGAGATCAACTATTTAAGTTATACATTAGGTACACATTATCTACCAAAAAAAAATGATAATTATTGATTATTAGGATGATGCTTTAGCTTAAAATTTTACATAGATGATTATACAATAGATTTACTTATCATAAAATATTAAATCTTTTATGAATTGTATATCATTATCACTATATTTGCGATAAATTATAATAATGTTATATATAAAATATAATTTTTTATAATGTATTCCCAACGTGTTTGTGCCCTACTTTTTTGAGAAATGTCGTATCTGCGTGTCCATGTCATGTTGTATCCGTGTCTTGTATTCGTGTCTGTGCTTTTTTGGTGTAACTTATAGAATCAACGCTGATTGACTTAAGTGGAGGAAAGTCTCTGACATATTATGTGATAGGAGGAAATCAATAACATTGAAATGTAAGTTTTACCAAACAGCTATAAAGACAACAATGTTGTATGAGACGTAATGTTGGGCAATTAGAAAACAACATAGTGAAAAATTGAGTGTAGCAGAAATAAGAATGTTAAGGTGGATGTGTGAAAAAATTAGAAATGATAGAATATGAAATGACTGTATTAGAGAAATGGTAAGAGTAGTTACAATAAGGACAAGTTGACGTAGAATAGATTAAGATGGTTTGATCATGTTCAACGGAGGCCAATAGAGACACTAGTTAGAAAAAGCGATAGAATTTCTCTTAATCTGCACTAACACTAACATATTAATTAGAATCAAACATGGAACAAGTAGTATTATATAATCAAGGGATTTAACAAAACATAGATTTGAAACTTCAATTCAAGAAAAAATTAAATAAATACTTATCAAAGATCTCAAATAGTGGGGCAATAGATAAGACTTGGGCCCAAAATTATTCTCCAACTACATATGTCAAAGCTCATGCGTGTACCCAAGTACCATTACTCTGTTGTGATCAGAAGGAATCCCATCATGAATCACGTTACTTGGCCACAGCAATATAGTTGAGTCAATTGTAAATAGACAAATGAATGCCAACCCTAAATTTATATATCGTGGGATTGAACCATCCCTCCCTTCCCCTCACAACATTGAAGTCAAAATCAAGGAGCCCCTCTAAGGAAATTTGAAGTATAGATCATTCAAAACTAATGGTATGCATTGGGAGTTTAGAATTTTATACCCAAAGGCTTAAAAGTCCCAATTTCCTTTATTTATTCAATAATCAAGCAAAAATAAACAACAATCGTCTCTTTGATGCACTAAATCGTCTACCCGTAAAAGGATTGACCATGAATTTTGTAACAAAGACGATGAATATCGTTACTATTGAGATATATATCTTTAATATCCAAAGAGACAGGATACTAAGATTACTAGTACAGTCCACTACTTGAACACAAATATTATACAAAAAGAGAACTAGAGTACCTATTGAAGAAGAAACAGAGTACCACTGGTTCTGCAATGGCAACATTCACGATGTGTCTGCATCTGGGAGAGGAAGGGAACGAAAGAAAAATGCAGTACTTGGTGAAGAATAGCACCATTGGGTCGCAATTATTGAGATCCCTATTTTGTAACTGATGTAGCCATTGCTGTGACAACCATTAATGTGTAGAATTTGTACAACCGCTAATCCCAATTGGGAGTGGTTATGCAAGAGGAGAACTTCAGCCGACAAAGAGGGAGAGATGAAGGGGTGCCAGTGTGCGTTAGCTTCAGTTGACAAAGAGAGAGATGAAGGGATGCCAACATAGATATAGATATAGATATAAGATACAACAATAATTATTATATTAATACAAATCTGGCTATATAATACATATGTCCAATTTTGACTTTATATAATTGTTTGGGGGTATTTGTGCTAATCAAAAGTTTTTTGGTCTATATGCCTTTTAGAAGTAGTATAGGTATAGATATAGTTTTATCTAAGTGTTTTTGTCTAATACTCAAATAGTAATTATTTAATAAATATGATTTTCTCATTATAAAATACTAAATATTTGTTTAAGAAGTGCGCTTTATTAGTCATTCCCAATGCAACATGAATAATTTATTTTTGAATTTGAGATTTTCACAATTTGAACACCTTTACCAAATGATTTACGACATGTCCAACCCTTATTCAAAATTACACTCAAATATAAATTTGAGTAGAAATAAGTATATGGTTCAATCCTTTATTTAAATTCATATCAAAATGATAAGATAACCAAAATTTGTTTGAAATCAAGGAAAACTCATTTTTATTCAAAATTTTCAACAACCATAACTAAAATTTGTGAAATCAAGGAAAACTGTTTTATTCAAATCTTTTAGCGACCATGTGCCAGTCACCTTGGTGCATGTTTCTATTGGTCGCCATATTATTATCTTCCAACATCTATTTTAACTCATTGGTGGTCCAAAAAACATGACTTCATTGAAACTAAGGTCCTTAGTAGCAATATCATTTTAGTTTCCATTTTGTTTTTCGAAATTTTAGAAAAAAAATACAAAGGTAGAGAAAAAAGAGAGGATGAAAAATTTTTGGGGGAAAAAATTGAAGAAATAGACTCTTGAAGAATATGAAACATTTTTAAAAAGTTTTATTTATGTATCAAACCCAATTTTGTACTCAATTTTATATCAAATGTGTGAATAAAAGTTCTCCATTTGGGCAGGTTTGGACTGATATGGGCCCACCGCAACTCGGCTCGTTTACAGTATTTTTGTGCCATTGATAAGGAAGGGGGACAAAACCATTTGTGCACTCCCAATTGGAAAGTTTACGCGACCTTCTCTCGTCTTCCAAGTCGGTCGTCACACTATTGTCTATAGGCCCCTTTCTCTCTCCACTGTAAGTTTTGGCAGTTTTGATGGAGTTGAAGTTATCGTTCTCATCCGATAGCCCTCTGCTCTCAGTCATTGCGGCGGCTAAGATCGCCGGAATTTCTCTCTCCTTCAATCCAACACTCAGTAGTGGCTCTCCTCCTACTTTGCTCCTTGCCGAAGGGTGATTTATCTCTATCCTTTACATATAGCTGTGTGTCTGAACACAAATGAGCTTTTATTAACTCAATCGGTATCCAGATTGGAGCAGGGAATAAATGAGCTTCTGCGGTATCTTGGTGGGAATGGAACTATTCTCAATTTCTACGGCATTGATGCCTTCGAATCTGGTCAGGTCTGTTAATTTGAACTCTCTGAACTTCGTAGCATTTGAAATATTATCTTTCTTGTTAAATAATGTTTGGTTTATTAATGTTTGTTGGGATCCAGTTTGCTAATTTTTCCTTTCATTCTTTTTATAGATTGATAAATGGCTAGAGTGTGCCTCAGTTTTTGCATCTGGTTCCGAATTTGAGGGAGCATGTGCCTATGTGGATGAATATTTGAGGCAGTGTACTTTTTTGGTCGGTCATAATTTGTCAATTGCAGATATAGCAATTTGGTCAAGTCTTGCTGGTAAAAGTTTTAGATTTTCACCTAATTATAAATTTGAAATTACTGAGGCATATACTGTAGTAAAGCAATCTGGCATTTGCATTTTTCGAAGTCTATGTTGCGTTGATTATCATTCTGTCATCAAGCTATCTGCTTGCTGGAAACCATGAAATAGTTGTTACTTGTTCACATGCCAGCACATTGGTCTGTGACACCATCATCTCTTAATTATGCTAGTGATGCTTTGATGTTTTTTAGCCGTGCATTTTGTTGTATTCTTGTTTGAATTTTTATTTGAAATGGTTGATGGTACAGTTGATCTATGATTACTTAATTTGATTATTGCTCACTATGCTTCATAAGTTCATAATAATAATAATAGTAATAATAATATGATGATGATGATGGTGATGATGAAATTTTGTAGAAAGATATTAAATTTTGAAGAACTTCCTATTGAATGGGCCATCATTTTACATGAACAAGCAACAATTAAAGGAAGGAAGAAATCATTGAGCAAATCCTTTAAATACTAGTTGAAATTGCATGGGATGTCTATACTGATTGGGCATTTCCCACTAAGTAATTTATGTGAATTATTAATATTTCTTTCATGGGGTTGCTCCATAATTAATTCGTTTGTTGAAACAGGTCATAAGGGGCACTTACTATATGTACTCTATACGTACTTATATATAGTAATTTAATTAAGAACATGCCTCATCACCAGGATCTCTTTTAGTTGGATATCTGTTTTGATACAGAGCATGATGCGTCACTTTCTTCCTAGTTCTTGGACTAAATGAATGTACATTCTAACACTAGTTAATCCTCATGTGTGCCTTGATGCCCAGTATGCATACATTTAGCACTTCTGCAAATACTAAAATTTTTGCTCTTTGCAGGAACTGGGCAGAGGTGGGAAAGTTTGAGGAAGTCGAAGAAATACCAAAACCTAGTGCGGTGGTTCAACTCAATATTTGTAGAATATAATGATGCCTTGAGTGAGGTCATATCAACATTTGTTGGGAAAAAGGGCTTGGGAAAGCCAATGGCATCCAAAGTAAAAGGAAAAGAGCAACAGGATTCTAATCCTCATTCCAAGCATGTAAATGGCAGTGCTAATGAAAGGGCAATGTAGGCAATCGGCCCACATTTGAAGTAGATCTTCCGGATGCTGAAGTTGGAAAAGTGAAGTTGCGTTTCGCACCTGAACCTAGTGGTTATTTTCACATTGGGCATTCAAAAGCAGCACTATTGAACCAGTATTTTGCTCAAAGGTACCAAGGTCAGGTGATTGTGCGCTTCGACGATACAAATCCTGCTAAAGAAAGCAATGAATTTGTGGATAATATTCTGAAGGATATTCAAACTTTGGGTATTAAGTATGAGAAGGTTACATATATGTCGGATTACTTCCCTAAGTTAATGGAAAAGGCTGAGGAATTGATTTGTGAGGGTAAGGCGTATGTTGATGATACACCGCGTGATCAAATGCAGAAAGAAAGGATGGATGGAATTGAATCAAAGTGTAGGAACAACAGCTCCGAAGAGAACATGAAATTGTGGGAGGAAATGATTGCTGGATCTGAAAGGGGTTTACAGTGCTGTCTCCGAGGGAAGCTGGATATGCAGGACCCAAACAAGTCACTTAGGGATCCAGTATATTATCGTTGCAATCCTATGCCCCACCATAGGATTGGGTCTAAGTATAAGATTTATCCCACTTATGATTTTGCATGTCCATTCTTTGACGCTGAAGAAGGTATTACACATGCACTTCGATCTAGTGAGTACCATGATCGCAATGCTCAGTATTTCAGGATTCAAAAAGATATGGGAGCTCGAAAGGTTCTCTTATATGAATTTTGCCGGTTGAATATGGTATATACACTTCTCAGCAAGCGGAAGCTTCTATGGTTTGTTCAAAATGGAAAGGTTGATGGGTGGGATGACCCTCGGTTCCCCACAGTGCAAGGAATTGTGCGCAGGGGCCTGAAAGTCGAGGCCTTGGTACAGTTCATCCTTGAACAAGTAAGATTTTGTTTTCTAGCAGTGATCAAAAGTTGGTCACAGAGCTGTCCACAAAACGTGCATAAGGATTCCTTTGATTAATTTTGTCCTACACTGGATTTTTGCAGACATGTTACAATGACATGATTAAAGCAGTAATACATATTTTGGATCTCCCGCTCTGTCTCCTGCTCTCTTCCTTTCTTAACTAGGAAAACAGAACATGATAGTTTTGGGGTTGTCCTCTCTCTCTGTTGTGGTACGGATGTAGGTTATGGTCAGTGAGATTACCATGGCTGGAACCTTCTATTGAAATTTATTTCCCAAATTGCTGTGTCTAACAAAGCTTGTAATGTATGGCATGTGCATTATTGTCTTAGATATATCCTAAAACCTTGGAAAAAGTTGGTTCATAGATTTATTTTTCTCTAAAGCTTAATCTTGTCCTCTTTTCTTTTGTTTTAGGGAGCATCAAAGAATCTTAATCTCATGGAATGGGACAAACTCTGGACCATTAACAAGAAGATTATCTTTCCTGTGTGTTCCAGACATACTGCTGTCATTGAAGAACGGCGTGTTTTGCTGACTTTAACTAATGGACCTGAGGATCCATTTGTTCGGATCATACCAATGCATAAGAAATACAAAGATGCTCGGGAAAAGGCTACTACTTACACAGAGAATATGGATAGATCATGCTGATGCTGAATCAATCTCGATGGATGAGGAAGTGACCTTAATGGATTGGGGGAATGCAATTGTAAAAGAAATTAGAAAGGGCCAAGATGGGTATGTCACGCATTTAGCTGGGGTTTTGCATCTTGAGGGATCTGTTAAGACCACAAAGTTGAAGCTCACCTGGCTGCCGGACATAAGTGAACTTGTAACACTCTCTTTTGTAGAGTTCGACTATTTAATTTCAAAGAAGAAGGTATATGCTGGTTTACTGAGAGCCAGTTGGTTCCTTTTTGGTGCTTTTAGTCATAATATTCTCTATCATTTTGGATTCATGGTACTTAATTTGTCTTTGTGGCATGATACTACTCAAAACCTGTGCCATACATATGGCTGCAAATGTCTTCATGGAGAAGAATTCCACACATTATATAATGTTTCTTGTTATAACGTGAATAAGAAAGGAACTCTAGTTTTTTTTTTTTGGTCACAATTCATACAAGGGAGGGGGACTTGGTGAGACTCAAACCTTGCACCAAGAGGCAAGGTGGGAAAGACACTAGTCACTAAGCCATTCCTCTTTGCTTAGAAAGGTACTCTGGTTGATGATGATATAATTTTGTTACTGTTTGCACTTTCAGCTCAAAGAAGATGAGGATTTCCTTGATGTACTTAACCCATGTACGAAAAAGGAAACTGTAGCCCTTGGAGATTCAAATTTGCGGAGCTTGAAGCATGGAGAAATACTGCAGCTGGAGAGGAAAGGCTACTTTAGATGTGACGTTCCCTTCATGAGGCCTTCAAGGCCCACAGTTTTATTTGCTATTCCAGATGGGAGGCAGCAAACTGGATCGAAGTAAGTCCTTTAGATTGTGGTTAGCCTTCAATGAATGAATTGAGAAAATTTTCCGTGTAACTCCCATTTGATACATGTCTTCCCCAAGTATTGTTAATGTGCACTGATTTAAAGTGACATGTGAATCGTGTTTCAGTTATATCGATCTTTTACCTTCCATTTATTATTTTTTTTAGCGGTTCATCAAAGGAGACTGTGGCTGCAGCCTCTTGCTGGTCCATGAGAAAAAAAAAAAAAACTGTCCATAGTCAATTTTCGATTATTGATGCTGTCTATTATATTGGCGCTCTCTGTTGGTTTGACGCTGTACCCACGATTCTGAACTTTTGCTTCTACACATGCATTCTGGTTGGGGGTGGGGGAACTACTTCAAGATGTGGCGAATTTGGACACTATCATGACTATGTTTCATGATATGTGTTAGAAAATTTAGCCGTTGTGTTTCGGTGTGGTGATTATGTTATTCAACATTTGTCTTATTACATTAGAGAAACTTATTATTTTGTCACAGAAGCCATTAAAATTTCTAACAAAAGCTTATGCCACAAAGATGCTTCCCCCCTCGTAAGTGCATGCATACCAATAATTCTCACTAGCACAGCCTGTATTCTTGGTGTTTTTAAGTAGGAGTATTCTTGGTTAAAATATCCAAAGTGATAAGGTAGATAACACTGAATGATATTTCGAATTAAAGGGCAAAGTTTAGGTGAAATCTTCATCAATTTTAATCCGATAGGATTATTGATGTATATCATTTGAAATGATTATATTGGAATGTGTTAAATATTTGTAATTCGGTATGATCTAAAATCCTAATTTTGCATATGTGCTCATAAATGGCATCATTTATTCATATCCAATCCGATCAATTCTAATACTTAATTCAAAGACACTTTTAATACCCTAAGCATACATGTCCATGATATGATGGTATACTTGCTGATTTTGTAAACATTACGTGGTGTAAAATTACCTCAATAGGTCAATAATAATCTTGTCTCTAGGCAATTCAAACACATACTGTTCTTTTGGGTTAATAGATATGACTTAAATAAAACATTTTGTAGTAAAGGACCTTCATGGTTACACCTGAGAGTACAACAAGATTTGACAACTTTGATAATAGTGGCATCAATTTTTGGCCAAAGTTCAAATTTCGACCAATATAATCAATCATCTTGACAATTCGAGCAATTTGATAAACTTATATACCTGCATTATAGAATGTCATATAATTAGTCATATCATGTGTTTGAAGCAGGGCCGGCCCTAGGCCTAGGCCACTTAGGTGACTGCCTAGGGCAACCAATTTTTGTAAAATTTTGGGACCCCCAATTTATATTTATAGTTATAAGTACATATTTTTTGAATGTACTAATTTGAGGGGGTCCAAAATTTATTAATAGGCCCATTAGCTCTTTAACAACTTACCTAGTAAATTGCTCCACTTGCCAACTGTATTAAATGCCTAGACTTCAACAACAACGTCTCTCTCTTTCTTAACAATGAAAAAATAAATTCAATTAGCAAAAGTATGATATGCTTCCATTCAATTAATAAAACAGTAATGTTACACTGACCAAATTTTGGGATAAAATTTGAAACCCAAATGACATAGCAGCTGATTTGAGTTTCTTTATTTGGTGTCATGTCATTTAGACTTCAATAAAAACTCTAAATAATATGTTATCATGTCATTTAGGCTCTAAATTTAGCCATAAAATTTGCTCAGCATAGTATTACTGTTAGTAAAAACTAGTGAAGATTCAAAAATAAGAAGTGAAGCCATATGGTTAGCTCCATATGAGATTAAAATTTTGAATTTTTATTGGGTATGAATATTTGGTATGATATATTGTTTGTTGTTAACGTAGTTAGTAAAAATTTGCAATGCAAAGGCATTCATATTGATGTTGTTATTGATCAATTAAAAGTACTTATTTATTTTTTAGAATCATATAGAGAAAATTGATTTCATCAAAATAGACTGCACTTGAAATGGAAATAGAATCAGCATTTTGTGAAAACTATAAAATTCTTAGGAAAAAGCAATTTGGTTATGTAGTGGAGAATGTAGTAACACTATCAACTGAAGAATCTTTTAGGATTGAATATTTTTTTATAGGAAAATGTTATTTGGACCTAATTTGAGGACCTTATTTGGGGACGTAATGATGTATAACCATTGGATTGGTTGTGAGCTTCAACTAACATTGGAACTCACAACTAATCCAATGGTTGCATTGAAGGCACATCATTAGGTCCTCAAATAAAGTCCATATAGTATTGCTCTTTTTTATGTGTAGTTGATTTAGTTATTTCTTCAATCCAAAGTAGGTTTGAACAATTCAAATTATATGAAAATATTTTTGGTTTTTTATTTTGTTTTAAAAAATTAAAATCTTTAGATGATGATAGTTTGAAAATGTATTGTCTTAACCTTGAAAATTTTTTGAAGCATGACTTATTTTTTGATATAGATGGTTTAGATTTATTTCAAGAATTGAATGTATTAAGAAAGCCTTACAATATGAAATTAACATTCTAACTGAAACCCTGAATTATATAAAACGATTAGATTCTTTTCCAAAAATGCATGTATAACTTTTAGAATATTGTTAACAATTTCGGCCATAGTAGCTTCGGCGGAGAGAAAATTTTCAATCTTAAATTAATAAAATCTTTTTTCCGATCAACTATGTCACAAGAAAGATTAAATAAATTAGATATATTATCTATTGAAGAGAATATATTAGTAAAACTTGAATATAAAAATTTAATCAATATTTTTGCATCTCAAAAAATAAGAAAAATTGCCTTTAAATGAATATATTTCAATGATTCTATTTATGTTTTTACCCTTGTATTATGATAATTGCAAACTTTGCATTATTAATTTTCTAGGTTTTTACTCGAAAGTTGAGGTCATCAGATATGATCTAATACTGATTATGTGTTCTTGTTATTTCATGAACCTAACATGCTCTATATTGGGGATGGTCAATGGTGACTCGATTTTTGGGCTGAAATGTTTATATGATGTTTTTTCATTCATAAAATTTGAAGGGATGTGTGAAAATGGAAATGCAGTGCAATTCATTGAAATTTTTGAATAAGTTGGAGAAGAATGCAGGATAAAAAGGAAACAAATATTTGACTGTTGGAGGTGAACGCCCTATGTATGTGGTGACATAATGATTTAGAACATGTTCAAGTCTTGATGCCAGTAGGACATGTAAATCTATTATAGTCGTTTCGGCCTAGTGGTTGCTTGTGATTATATTAGGGCTAAATTGTGGATTCAAATCCAGTAGGACATGTAAATAAGCATGAAATAAGATGACCTCCAGCTGATATTCCATGATTAAAGGTCTTGGAGCCTCTTATTAACTACATGAATACTACTCTATCATGTCCTAGCAGTTACAACCTTGTCTCTTTTCCTTTCATATGCAGTAAATGAGTAGGGTATCTTTGATGTTGGTTTGCAGGGACATCTTGATTTCTCATATGATCCTTGGCCATCTGTCTAGGCTATAGTAGTGCTCTTTGATTCATTAGTCTATCTCCCACATGCGTATGTCAAATGTTATGCTGGTCCCAAGCTCATCATCCTTTTGGAGACTTGTTCGTGATTAGGTAGCCTGTAGCCTAGAAAATTCAACTACCCTATTGGATGAGTTCTAGCCAGAGGCACTCAATGCTCTAGAAGCTTCTGATATAAGCATATATACTAGAAATCAATTTGACCATTTAGTTAGATATTCATTACCATCACAATCATACTAAGCTTACGAGTTTCAAATGGATATGATATACTTCCGAAGTACTTGTGGTCCACTACAGATATGCTTATGCCATTGAGCTTGGTCTAGGCTCATATCTGCTGCTTATATATCAATCATACCATGGTTTCCTTATTTGATTTTCTTTTTTGCCTGACTACTTTAACTTGAACTAAATTTCTAGTCTCTATACCAAACCAAATGGCTGAGTCATTTTAACAATCATTCTCTTAGCTTTATTTTATGTGGTTCTGCCTATTTCAACAATCATTCTATTAATTTTATCTCATATAGTTCTGCCCCGGGTGTGACAATCATTTTGGACGTTATGTTTGATTGCGCATAAGTTGAATTTTATTAGTTGTAGCTTTTTTGTTACGTACCTCCTAATTAATTAAATAAGCATTTGTTGATTTCATATTTAAGGTATTATAGCTAGTTCTGGTTATACAATTGAAGGAGGAGAAAAAGAAGATGGCGAAGAAAAAAGTAGATTTCACGAAAAAGATGTTGGCTATTGAACAAGAGAACGTAAAACTCAAACAAATAAAGGAGGAACAAAAAATAATGTTGATGGATATGAGTGTCATGCCTCCGGTTCAATTTGAATATTTTAAGCACCTTCGGATGGAAATCATGGCAAAGAAAATGTAGTTCTTTCTTATTCATAGACTAACAACTTTTGGAGTAGTAGTACAACAAACAAGTACTGTAATATTATGCATGCTTAAATATTCGTAGACAATGAATGATTAAATATTCGTAGCATGTTACTGCCTAAAACATTCCATGCATATTCCACAAGTGGTCGACTAGATCAGTTTGAAGTATCGAATGAGTGTCTCTGTCTCGAACGCAATGTTGAGTATGAATAAATTAAAGCAGTTCTGAACTTTGTTCGGATATCAATTTAGGAGTAGGAATTTCATCCGATGCATCATAACTAAAGTCCATTTCATTACTGTCCCTCTCATCCTCGACAATCATGTTATGCAATATTATGCATGCCTTCATAATATCCTTAAGCACTTCAAGTTTCCAGAAACGTGCAGACCCATGAACTATAGCAAATCATGCTTGGAGCACTCCAAAAGCTCTCTCAACATCCTTTCTGGATGACTCTTGAGCTTGTGCAAAATATATTTGCTTATTGCCTCTTGGACATGAAATTGTTTTGACAAACGTGGCCCACTTTGGATATATACCATCAGCAAGATAA